TTTGGTCCCCAAACCCTGCAAAACTGCATAATTTTCCAACCAGCTGAACTTGTCACCAGCGATGTCACCGCTTCGTCGCCGCTCCGTTTTTGGTGCAAAAAGCGCTGAAAACGGCGAACTCCGAAAAGTGCGTTTTTTCGTGTCCGGCGTCAAATGTGCTGCCTGGGCCTCCAAATTCGCTCGTTTTCCTCCGAAAACCGGCTCCACGAAATCCGTTTTCTGCCCCGAAAAGCCTGCGAATTCCAGCCCGCTGAGCTCGTCGCCGCTTGTCACCGCTTTGTCACCACTCGCTTTTTGGGTGCAAAAGTGCGCAAAAGCGGCCCCAGTTCCCGAGCTCCTTCTTCGCGGCCCGGCAGCCCGCCGAGGACCTGGCTCGGAGCCCGACAGCCTGCCGAGGTTCTCCACGTAACACGTCAGCCTGCTGAATTGGTCACCGCCGATGTCACCGGTGTCTAACACGTCAGCCTGCCGCTATACCATCTCACCACCAAAACGGCACTTTATGGCCCAAAAACGCTCTCACACAATGTCACCGCTTTGTCACCGCTCTCTTTGGGGCCGAAAAGTGCGCAAAAGCGCCCCAGTTCCCGAGCTCCTTCTCCGCAGGGTTTTTTCGCGGCCCGACAGCCCGCCGACAGCCAGCCGAGGTTCTCCCACGTAACACGTCAGCCTGCCGAATTAGTCACCGCCGATGTCACCGGTGTCTAACACGTCAGCCTGCCGAGGTACCAGGGTGGAATCGAACCTCCCACCGCTCTCTTTGGGGCCGAAAAGTGTGCAAAAGAAGCGGCCTGTCTGCAGCGGAACTTTACGTGGAACTCCACGCAGGCATGTACCAAAATCTGGGTCATGCCTGTCGCCAGTTCCGCAAGGCGGTGTAAGAGCGTCTGCGCCCCCAGCCCCAGGTTCTGCTCCGCGCGCGTCTTGGACACCAGGTGCGCCGCCTCGCCCTGCTCTCGCAGCCTCGCAACAATCCGGGGTGCGTCTTTCCGGTGCCCGGCAGGCCCGTGAGCAGCAGGGAGTTGCCCGCCAGGCAGTGGCCCGTTCCACCTCCGTTGTTTGGGGCGCTCCGCCTCCATGCGCGGCGCCACGATTTCGCACCGGCTGCCGGGCTTGCGCAGCCCTCCAGCGCATGTTGGTCCACAGCCGGGTCTGCTTCCTGCACGCGGAGTCCCGTACTTGCAGCAGGTCACGTTTACATGAACGGGTGGGTCTTCAGCAGCCCGGTGGCCGGGTTCTCGACCACCCACATGAGGGGGTCGAAGTGCGCTGCTATGATCTTGAGGGCGCGTCGCCCTTCCGGAGCCGTCGGGGGCGCGTCGTCAGCGCACGGCTGTGTTCCGTGCAAACCGGGCTGGCCCAGACCATGTCGAAGTGCCCCGACGGAAACGTCGTGTAGTCGCACAGGATCGTGGGCTCAAATTTCAACAGGATGTCCAGGGAGACGACTTCCCAGCCCGCCGCCTCGAAGGCCCTGCCGACCGACTTCGTGCCGCAGAAAAGCCCCAGGAGTCTCGGCATTTTTAAAGAGCAAGATCACCGTGAGTGCGACGGCGACGGCGCAGGCTTGTGCGTTCATCGGACCGGACTTTTTTCTCCACGGGATAAAAAAGGAGCCGAACTTCGCAACCATGAAGCTTGCGCTCGGGCTGGACGTTTGTGGAGCTGCAACTTTCAGAACGGTCGGGATGTGCTTTGCGAGCAACACCGGCTGTGGACGGAGGAGGTGGAGCAGGGGGTGATCGACAACATGATCGTCTTCGAGAAGCCCTTCCCAGGCGCCTCCCTCTCTTTTTAGAGGCCATTCCCCGGGTCATTCCCCAAACGGATTCTATTGCACCTGGGAGGCTTCTCACACTCATCCGTCCAGGAAACGACCTCGTCCTGCGAAGGATTCGAAATCTAAAATGCTGCCTGCAACAAAACGACCCCTAGATATGCTTGCAATTTGCCTCCAGGTTGCATTGCAAGCAAGCCGAGCTTTGCAGGGCTAAGAAAAAAAGAAAAAAAGAACAAAGGGGTCTCCAAAAAAGGGGGCCCAAAACAAAAGGAAAAAGGGGGTTCCTTTGGCAAACCTCGACCTTGCTTGAAATGCAACCTGGAGGCAGATTGCTGCGCATATCTAGGGGTCGTTTGGTTGCAGCCGCACGCCGCGCAGCATTTTCGAATCCTTCGCAGGACAAGGTCGTTTCCTGGACGGACGAGTGTGAGAAGCCTCCCAGGTACAATAGAATCCGTTTGGGGAATGGCCTCTAAAGAGAAAGGTTCCAATATTGATCCATGGTTGACTTTCGTTGCAGCAATATTGATTCAAAATTGATCCAAAAACGGCCTCGAGGCGTGTACGCCAACCTGCAGAGCCGCGCCAGGACCACCCTCTCACACACCAACATGCCGAACCCCCACACTCCCCCGGGTCCTTGCTATATGTCCTATATGTGCTATATGGTTCTCACACGCCAACCTGCTGAACCCCCACACTTGCCCGGGTCCTTGCTAGAGGTTATATGGTTCTCACACGCCAACCTGCTAAACCCCCACACTCCCCCAATTCCTTGCTATATGTCCTACAGGTGCTATATGGCTCCTACACGCCAACCCACGGAGCCCCACACTCCCCCAGGTCCTTGCTTTATGTCCTATATGTACTATATGAGTAGTAAGGAACATAGGCTCATAGTCCCCTAATTATTTTCTGTTTTTGGCCCGAAACCGAGCTTGTCACCAAAGAAGTCACCCCTATGTCACCCCTACCTTTTGGGTGGAAAAAGTGCCCAAAACGGCCAACTTCCCGAATTCCTGAAAACCTCGTTCTTTTCGGTCAGACAGCAAGTAAGGGGCATAGGCCTATCGATTTGCGCGTTTTTGGCGTACGCCCCTCTCGATTTCCGTTTTTGGCCCGGTACGCAGCTCCGACTTGCCTCGCGTGGTGCCCAGAGGCCCAACGCTATATAGCTTGCTTCGAAACCTTGCGCTCATGCGGGTCGCGTGGACCACCGAGGGCCAAGCAGTGCGCGGCCTATGCATGCCTTCCGGCACGGACAACACCGCATCCGAAGCCGGAGTGAACAAGCTGTTCGCCACAGCGTGGCCCTTGCAGATCTTTGTGCAACTAGTAGCCGCATGGGCCTACAAGCACAAATGGTCAGTGCTAGCATCGCACATCCCAGGCAAGCACAAGGTGTGGGCTGATCAGCTCAGCCGCGGAAACACATCCGCATTTGACAGCAAGCCGCATGCTCGCTTTAGATTTCGCCCACATGATTTCTGGCCCCATAAATCCGCGCTGTCATTGCATCCGGCCGACGCACCATGGCGGCCGGAGCATAAAAGTGCTTCGCAAACGCTCTGAAGAGGGGGCGATAGATTAGGCCGTTTGCTTGGAACCCTGCACAGGGAAAGGACACGCATTGTCTTTCTCCCTGCACTGCCGAGCCTTGACTTCCAAGCAACGCCTCATAAAGAAAAAGAGCAAGCGCACCATTTGTCGGTCGTACTCTTTTGTTTTTTGCTGCATGTTCCCTTACGGCTTGCGTTTGGGGTTTTCCTTTTCCCCTATGTTTTAATCTTGATTGAATCTTCGGACGCGTTGCCGTTTTCTGCTTCAAGCCCCCTAAGGGTCATGCGTTGAGGGTCCTACCCCTCCTTTTTGCGCCCACCCACCCACCCTTTCACAGCTCAGGTGGATCCTCCAAGTGCCCAGCCGACAGCTGGCACCCAAGAGGCCAGAGCATCGCAGTGCCTGACAGGTACTGCGCATAGCATGCCCCTGCATGCAGTGACCGCCTCGACAGGTCTCAACCTTGCACCGTGTGCCGCACTGCACACCAGCCGGATGCACGCATGGCATCCTGCAGCAACTAATGCCTTCGATTGTTTCACGCCTCACAGGTAACACACCTGGCGCCTGGTCGAACACGCTTTGTTGACCACGAGGGCATTTGAGCAGGCTCCGCATGGGGGTGCAGGCATAGGGAAAGGACACGCATTGTTTTTCTCCCTGCACCCCCGAGCCTTGACTTCCAAGCAACGCCTCATAAAGAAAAAGAGCAAGCGCGCCATTTGTCGGTCGTACTTTTTTTGTGTTTTGCTGCATGTTCCCTTACGGCTTGAAGCAGTGATCAAGTTCCAACTTTAGGAATTGCCGCCGAATGTCGTCTTCGCAGAAGGGAAGGACCCACGCCTTGTTTTGCAAAGCACAACCTGAAGCTTTGCCGACAGGGGGGGATATTTTTGCCCCCACTTGCAAGCAACCCGAAAAAGGCGTGCAACTTTGTCGAGTTTGTTGGCGTGCGCCACTGCGATCATGTAAACGCAGAATGATATCATCATGTTTCCAGATTTCCGGGTTTGATTCGCTGGTATCATGCGTATGTTTCTCAAAAATGAAATCCTTTGAAAAAGTTAACTTTGTCAACATGTTGGAACATGTTCACGTATTTATCTTCATTGACTTTGCATCGCAACATTGACACGGGTTTCATGCACGGAGAGGTTTGTTGCGACCATTGGATTTGAATATGTATGTTTTAGATTTGATTCATTGAGTGCGAACATACGATTGACAACCGCAAATTGCAGGTGTTAATGACAAGGGCAAAGCAAAGGTTTCAACTTGAATCCGTTGCACGCACTGGGGCTCAAGGTGCGGCACTATGTTGATGTGTCAAAAGTGACGCACATGGTTTCTAGCATAGGTTGACTCGGACACGTTTTGACGTCGTTGCACCACAAACATTTTGGGTTTCCCAAGTGGGTTTTGGTGTTTCGTGTCCTGCAGTTGGATAATTCGGACATGAGCTGTACGGAAATGGCAACTTATGACAACTTAGCAGTGCCATCACAGCGCAAACTTGTCAGATGTCGGCAAAATTCAGCGTATTTTTAAACGCCCTGGTTCTTGCTCACACATTCTTGGTTTCTATGGAACCTCCTGGGGCCAACGCTTTTGACAGCCAACGCTTTTGATTTCGATCCGTGTGCGCCAAAGGCCCCAAACGGGCACTAAAACATTCAGCGAGAGTTGCTCATCCCACAACCCTGCGATGAGCGTTTTTTACGCGACGATCATCGCGTACGTTGTGCTGGGGGGTGTTGGTGTTGGTCCGGCCGACACGCTTTACGATCGACTCGCGCTGGATTTGCTCAATGATTTGCTTGACTTCCGAATGTTCAAGAACTCACATCTTGAAGCCCAGAGTGGGGGTTGAGGAGTTCCGTTGCAGAAAGTAGCGAGACAAGAACAAAAGCAGGAGGCATACAGCAAGCCGCCACCATTCTAGGCATTCTTCCAGACTGTAAACAGGGAAAACGGAATAATGGAGAGATTTGCGGGAGTGTGACTTTCTGTCCAAGACTGATTGTTTAATGTTTTTCTTGGGATTTCGGGTTTTTTTGTTTCCAGTTCCGCGTCTCGCAGGTGTCTTCCTCTGGGGAAAGGAGCATGGCAACTCGATCTTCGACCGCCTCTACCGCATGATTTGCATGTATCTGCCGGCGCTGCTTAAGAAGGTGGGAGTCGCCAAAGACTTCGGAGCTCGTCATCCGTCTCGTATGGTGAGGGTCATGAGCTTAAGAAGTTGCTCGGTAGTAAACGTCAATTGAGCCATAATCAAAATCCGGGTAGATTAGTAAGGGCCAATCCCAACCATAAAAATAGCTGCGGCCGCCTTCTTAATTCTTTACATGGCTCTGGGTAGACCGTTTTTGTACCGGGTTTTGATTATGACTCAATTGGTTGTGAGCTTGTTCAAATGAGATGTGGAGAACTTCCCAGAGTCACATGCCTTGGCAATTCTAGCTGCATAGCCAGCACGCATCACGACCTCTTGCTGAAAACCATTGGCTTTAAGTTGAGGTCACAGAAATGCGAACATAGCAGGTGTTAGATGGTGTTAGCTCCCATCGAATCATAGGTCACCACAGCAAACTTAGTGAAATCCGCTGTGAAGGACAGGGGCTCCCTATTTTGCTGTCAACGTTCTCCAAAACATCGAGCAGTTTTTGTTGACTAGCTCTTAGTCGTTGGTTTGGATTAGGGTACCGTGTTTGGGCCGCTTAAGGGGGAGACCCAAGGCTACCCACCCATTTTGCGAGGTTCCCTTATTGAGAGGCAAAGCCACCTCTCATTCAAAGACACAAGCGGCAACTGAGGGCAGCGTGCCACATGGAGTATACTTCTGATGGAGGAAGTTGGATCACGTCAATAAAATGCAAGTGAATCCTTCAGAAGGGCAGAACGCAGAAGAAGCGAAAGCACCTAGCGCCCACCGGTTTTGTTCCCCCAAACCGTTGTTGCTCCTTTGGCTGGGAAACCAAAGCCCAACCTGTACCGTCCAGGTCTAGGCATATTTTGCCCTCATCCACATGAGGTGGTGCCTAAATCGCGTATCTTCTGTGGGGTATTCCTCAGGGACCTAAAGGGAACGGGACCATCTGTGTACCAGATGTCGGAAACTTGAGCCCATGAAAGTGACAGGGGCTGCTTGTCCCAGCCGAAATTGTTGCCGAAGCCGTAGGGGCTGGAGAAGTGTTTTGGCAAGCGGGCGCCGGCCTGCCTTGACGCCGCCTGGGTCTACGCGCCTTGGATGTGGTGGCGTTTTTCCCCCTGGGCCCCTACAGGTTTTGAGGTAAAAGAACCAGTTTCCCTTACGGAAGTTTGGAAGGGAAGGGAGTTGGGAGGGTTCGTCTTGACGTTTTTTGTTTTGGATGCCTGTCCACGTGCTAGGGGGTGGCCTGTGAATTTGCCAGAGGCCCATTGAAAACCCCCTCAGCCACCAGGCCAAGAACCGGCCAGTGACCGCCGAAGCCAGCAGCAACGGCACTAACAGAAGCCGCAACAGCAAGAATCATCAGCAAACACAAAGGCAGGAACATGAACACAGGTGCAGGCACACAGAAAAATTACTTACACTCACAAGGATAAGAGTGCGCCACCGCTCAGTCTCAGCCCGAGGTTTGCTACACCAACAACCCCTTGGTGCAGCTCTTCTATGTGATTCGACGCAGAGGGAAGAGAACCGGAGACTTTCGTTTTCTTACTGAAGCATCGGTCCCTTTGAAAGCCGCGGTTCGGCCAAAAGCCCATGGGTTCGGCCAAAAGGACATGGCGGACTGGCGGTTCACGTCTGAGGGACATGGGGTGTACCGGCCAGAAATGGGATCGGCCTGAACGCTTGCTTTCATTTGAACTATGGCCGAGGCGAATCAACCTTGCATCGGAAAAGGAGTGTGTGTGTGTGTGTGTGTGTTTTTGCGAGGGCCCTTTTTTCACTTTGTCTGAAGCAACAAGAGGAAGCCACATGTTTTTGGTGGCTAGCATCATATACCCAAATGGACTTGCAAGGGTTTGATAGCTACAGGAGATCCCGCGAAGACAGTTGTGCCCGATATATCCGAAGCGCCACTCACAACTTTCCCGGTGAATGAAGCCGCGGTGCCTGGAATTAGTTCTTCAACGCGTCAGTACTGTAGCGCTGGCGGCTTCTCCTGATGACAAAGGGCACACGAAAATCGCATGTCCTCAAAGTGCATCATGTTCCCTGGATGATTTCCCTTGTCCCCAGAGGATAACCAGATCTGATCTGCTAGTTGCTCGGGGCTGCGGTCCTCCCCTCAGCTCCTGGTGGTCGTTGGCGGCTATGCAACCTTTGTGGCCTACAGCCACCCCCACTTGCCCAACAGGCCGTGGCCGTGGGGAGGTGGAGGTTTTGACCTTCGGTGTTCTCTTGCCTCGTTGTGTTACCAAGCAATCGTTTTTGCAGGTTTCGCGTTTTGTGGTTTTCGCGGTTTGCGGGTTTTCGCGGTTTTCGTGGTTGTCGTGGTTGTCGCGGTTTTCGCGGTTTTCACGGTTTTCGCGGCTTTCGCGTTTTCGCGTTTTCGGCTGCAAAATCCGCTTAGTGCACGTCACGAAAAAAATAAATAAATCGCACAGTTTTGTTATTTCCCGTTTGACGCATGTTGTTCGTAGTGCGGTCCCTGCGAACGTTGGGCTGCCCCCAAGCAGCCCCTGCACGGGCCGTTGGGCGTATTGCTGTTTGGAGTGCAAAAGGGGCGTGCAAAGATCAAAAGCTGCCCCATTTGCAGCATCCCAGCTCCAATCGAAGCCAAAATCAAGAGTGTGATATTCGAATCATCTTGTCGCGGATCCAACTCGGAACGTCGGACAAATGCAAAACTGATTCGCAAAATATTTCCTGCAGCTTCATGTCGAGAGTCTTCCCTCAAGTGCGACTGCACGCCAAGCGCAATTTTGCAGTTCCGCCAAGCGAAGCCCCGAGCAAAACGCCGCAAACTTGGCGGCAAAAGGGTAGCGCAGGGTTCCGGCGAGCGATGTGTTCCTTTTTCAGGCCCTCTGCAACGCAGCAACGCAGCTTGGGGATCAGAACTGGAACGCAAGAAGCAAGGCACAAAGCGCACAGAACACTTCCCAAGAGATGATAAAGAGATGGATGACAGTAAAAAATGGGACCATGGGCATTAAGACGATACATCATCAGATTCATTCTGTTTTCTTATTACTACTTGCACATATTGTGATTCCATTTATCTTTTGCAGGATTCAACGTTTTTTCCTGGACCGGAATCCACGTCTCATAGAATGATGTTCACATAGTATTTCGACTTAGTTTATCTTTGGTTTTTAGTTTAATATTGGTCTAGAGATTTATTCAGACAATTAGCTAACACACATGAAGTCTTATTAGCAATGGCCTGTCATGTGTAGCATCATTCAAGGACTCCATTGGTTTGAAGCCATACGGGTCGCAAGCAAAAGAAAACAAATTGGCGGAGAGTTATCCATCTGCCAGGTACATTGGGAACATCCACAAGTACCTGGGCTTCTGCATCTTCGCCCTGTGCCTGGCAGTCTGGTGGCGGGCGTGCACCGCCTGGGGCCCAGCGATTTTTTCTTCCGTGGGCGGCTGTCCGAGGGAGTCGTTTTGGGATTCACTTTGGGGTTGGTGGTGTTGGTGCCTTTTTTTATAGGCTATCCTTTGTGGTGCAGAGTTTTTTCTCTTCAGGAGGCTCGAGGGAAGCCAACTGTTTTTGAGGGTGGTTTTTGGAGACGAGCCCGAAAGGCCGCACACTCTTGTCAGGCTGGTTTGGACCTGGTTCTCCACTGTTTTTGGTGGTGAAGAAAACCTCATGGGAAGCCGCGACTCCAAAACCGCTCAGAGCACATGTCCAAATCCGAGTGTCTCAGACGGACCCGGGCACTGTGACCGCGGAGAACGTGGACAAGCTTTGCGAGGTCTGGGAGGCGGGGCAAAGGAAAACACCACCCGCCAGAAGGAGATGGGGGTTGATCAATATTCCTCCCCCAAAATGACCATGGGTAACATTTTCCATGTGGGAAATATCATCTTTTTTGGTGGCTTGCCCTCATTGTCAACCCATGTCAAGGACCGGGCTTGAGCTTGATATGCGCTTGCATGTTGATGTCAGCAAGGCATAGGCCTTAGATTTCATGTCAGTCACTTGGAACGTTTCTAGGGGTTGATTCCTTTTCCATTCTTGTCAACCATCCTTCTTTCCAAACACCGGCCGTTTTCCATCGGTTTCCGGAGGTTTTCTAGAAAGATTCGGATCCCTGGAACGAATGGAAATTGAAGGTAGCTTTAGAACATTGCTAGAAGCAGAGCAAGCCATGCGCTCTTGATCCACCGGTTTTTGCAGGTTTTCAATTACAGGCACGAACACACAGACACAAACACTCCCTCACAAGTAACTTTCCATACGGGCGCTTTCCACTCTCTCATCCCCGCTCTCAACCACCTCTTCCTTTAGCACCCCGAAAAAAATGGGCAAACCATCCCACTCCTCTACCCCCAACCCCCCGTTTCCCTCCTTAGCCCCTCCTTACCAACCCGCCGCTCCAATCGCTCGCCAGTGGGACGAGCAGATCTTTCATATGGCGCGGTGCAACACCTGCGACCTGGTGAAGCCGGCGAGGTCCAAGCACTGCTCCCTCTGCAACCGCTGCGTGGTGAGGCGCCGGTTTTGCGCGTGAAGCGCCTTCCTTTTTTCACGCAGGGATGAAGCCGGCAAGTTTCTTTTGACACGTGCTCTTGGAAGGGATGCTTTCTCATTTCTGGTGATTTGCGTGTGGTATGTTTTGTGGAGAGGGTGGAAACTGGTTCTACTTAAATTTGCATAGTTCGGAGTGGGGGGGAAGCAGTGCAGAGCAGCTCTGAGTCAGGTATCTCTCGCAATAGCTTGCATGAGCCAAGGCTGTCGGACAGCTGGTGGCTGTGTGATAGGAAGTATTTCTATCTCTGAGAAGCAAAGCAGAAGGCTCAACCCGAAGGTTGCCGTTTTTTAGGGTTGAGCTGCGAAGCAGTCAGGTTTGCCAGCTCAACAACTTCTTGTAGCTGGTTTCTTCTGCGTTGGAACCTTTTGACTTTTGGGGGATGGTTTAAGGAGGAGTTCAATGGGGAAAGCAGGCCGGGGAAGGTGTTGGGAGCTGGGAAGACTTGCGGGCTGACCTGGACACAGGACTGTCTCCCACGCTTAGGGCTGGTTTGCCGTATGCCTTCAATCGTCACCAGTGTTTGCCTCGGGAGCTTGTTCACGTGTCAGATAGACTCTTATTTTTTCATCCGTCTGCAAGTTAGCTGGGGTTGAAGTCAATCGGCCAGCAATGGAGCGAACGGTCTCAGCCTTGACGACCATCACGAATCCCATCCAGTGACAGCTTTTGTTTGTGCCGTCCCTTTCAAAGAAGCTTTCTTTGTGGCAAGGTGGGTCTGTTGTTGACCTTGTACTTGGCTGTTCAAAAGTTTTGTTTTTTAGTACCCCCTTGTTTGTGGCTGTAAGGGAAACCAAGAGGAACACCACCCATTTTTAGGGTCCCTGGGTGGGTTTCCCTGTTGCCCTAAGTCACCCAACATGCCGGTTGGGTATTGGGCATAGGTTGGAGCGCCAGGTTTGATCACCACTGCATTTGGATCAACAACTGCGTGGGAGTCGGGAACCACCGCTACTTCCTGGCGTGAGGCCCTTGGCCAAAGGCCTGTGGAAGTTGGTTGGGTTCTTCCTCGACGGCTATCAGTTTCTAGGTCCCCAGCAAATTGGTGACAACTTTTACCGTTTCTTTTTTGGTTTGGGAGGGTTTCCCGACTAAAATAGACTGCAGAAAAAAATTCGGGTACCCTTATTCTAGTCTCTCTGGAGGACCTAGGTTTGCACCAAAGGACAATCATGCGTGTAGCCTCCATAGAAGACCCATTATGTCAGAATCCCAGGGATGGAATCCCACAAAAAAAAAAGCAAAAAAAAAAAACAAACTCAGGGGACAGGCTCATTGGACCGTTCACATGTGTTCCAGCAAATGTCCGATCGATCGATCGATCCCGGTTCAGACCGCAAATGATCCAAGTTCGGACGACGGAGTGGAGATTGGACCTCGGCTCGGGTGCTTCGCGACAAATTTGACACCAAGCCTTTTCCACCCGAGATGCGCTCAAGGATCGACCTGGAAGAGTCCTGACCAGAGACTACGATTGCCATCCGGCGGGATTTGTTGTATCTTGCCCCTCACCCCACTCCCCGCGCCCCTCCCCCACTCCACTCCCCTTCCCCCCACTCCCCGCTTCCCCCCCCAAAGCCCCAACCCAATCACATCCCCTCCACTCCACTCCACTCCCCTTCCCCCCCCCATCCCCAACCCCAACCCAAGCCTCCCCCCCCAAATCCTTCCCCCGGCCGCCAATCCTCCCCCCCCGAATCGGCCGAGGTTTCTAGGCTTGCACCTGGTGATCTGCTTCTACGGCTTTGGCTGGGCCGCCCAGTGGCATCCGTTTTTGCCCCATCCCTCCGAGGAGGCCAGCGACGGCCATAGGTGTCCTTTTTGGTTGATTTGGTGGAAAAATGGAGGGCGATCCCTGGTTTACAAGTTTACCTGGTGGTTCAATCAACTACCAGGGCCATCTATCTTCCCAAGAAGGACACCTATGGCAACGACCTCGTATCAAACCCCGAAAATCTTCTATTCGGCCGAATCAAAGACACCGAGTTGGAGTCCAGGAAGGTCCCCTGCGTGCAGTCTTTGAAAGTCCGAGACCGGTTTTGAGGCATCAAGCTAGCGATCGAAGTTTTTTGAAAGGCCCAGGTTGAGAGTTGAGAGACACTGGGTTTTTACATGTGGCTGTGGTTGTCAAAACCAATGGGATCCCATGTTGGGGTAGATGAATTCACCACCCATTTGGTCGATTTTAGTGGTTGGATTGGGATGTTCACTGGGGGTACGGGGTTTTGACCCCATGGCCATGTGTTTCAGTTCCAAACTCCACGGGATATGACTCAGTTCGCGAGAATCTCGAAGGTGCAGATCTGCCACTTCTTCCGGTCTTCCTCTTGGATTTATTTGAATTAGATCCATTCCCAGAGTCCGAGGCTTGACAGCGACCATCCTCTGGAACATCGTGGTGCGCCCTTCGATGCGTTTCGAGTCGAGTCGCTCGGTGAGTCGAACTGGTGAAATGGCCGCAAGCCCACGGCTCCCAACTCCCCTGCCATGGGCTTTTCAAAATCCGAGGCCCGCCCCATAAAACATCCGATTCAATCCAACCACTAAAATCGACTAAATGGTGGTGCACCGAAAACCCCAAAATGGTATCATTGGTCCACAGTCTCAGGTGAAGAGTGACGCTTGGATGATTGGCTTAGTCTCGAGCGCCACTCCATCGTGAGTGTCATTCTCAAGAGTCAATAGAGCACCGTGTCGGGCTTGAGAGGCCTTGTCGCACTTTGGCACGGAATTTGTCGTGTGTGGCAATCTGCACAAATTCTAGCCTTCGACTGGAGAGGTTGCCTGGGATTGTGATACTCATAAATCGTCGCACCGATGTTGTCCGGAGTTTTTTTGTTTTTCGAATTCGGAGATATTGCCTAGAGTCCAATTTAGAGAACCTTGGGACACTGGCTGATTTTGGCGCCCGTTGGGCAGAGAGGTATCCAAGGACCTGTTGAGCGCGGTCTTCGTGAGACCAGATACTCAGGACAGTCAGAGAAAAATAGCGTGGACCTGGCTTGACATGTGTGCCACCATTTCTGGCCAGACTTTCAATGCGCAAGGCATCCACATGGTTTCAAGGTCCCTCTTCGAGGCAGTTTGCTGCTCCACAACGGAGGGACGACGGTCAATATTACCATATCTACCCGTGCCTTCAGCAAATTTCTGGCCAGACAAATCCACATTGATTCAAGGTCCTTCTTTCTCCCAGTTTTTGTCTCCAGCTCAGAAACACTCCGCTTTTGCCCTGTCAAACTCAAAAGGCAGACAAAGACACACGTACCAGACGCTCACCATTTCCACCAGCAATGAGCATCGTGGATTGGGGTTTCCGGCGAGGAGCGTTTCACGGCCACGAAGCTCATGGTGGGGCAGTACCTACTTGCCACGGAGGCCGGCGATTTTGTTTTGTTTGTGGGTGTTGGGTCAGGTGAGCAAAACGTCCTCAAGACCTGGGTAGATGAGAGTTGGTGAGCAGCCAGAAATCGGTGCGGAGATCCGGCTTTGTAGGTCTTTACCTTGGTTTGGGAAGACCATTTTAAGACCAAGTTTTGAGGATGACGCGGGTGTGCTGTGAAGTCGGCTTCGGCTTCGAAATAAACACCACCAGGTGTTTTGTTGCCAGCGAGCGAGAGAGCGAGGTTGAGCACTTGTCACGAAGGCATCCGTTCCTTTTTTTTCAGGTGTCCGCCCCCAAAAAAACGCCCCGCCAGATGTGGCAGTTTCAGCACGCATCGAATCTCGTCACGGCGATTTGGGGGGAAACCGAGCGGAGGGTATGGTGGTCTTCATCTCTGTGCTCTGCTTCATCATGGGCATCGTGCTCTTCGGGTTCTTCGGATGGCACCTCTACCTGGTCAAAGCAGGCGCGCGGCGCGCGCCTCCCCGATCTGCTCGGCCATTTTTGCTCAGAGTTCGGATCGGATCGGATTGTTGTGAGCTTTGCGGGGAAGCCACTTTTTAATGAGAAGTAGCCCGAAGAATAGAAGAACGGCAGTCCAACCGCGTGTAAGACCTGGACGGGGACCTTCCCAAATTCGATGGATGCGGGGCTGAGGGAACGCCCCTTTGCCGTGTTGCGAGGCACCACTACGAACGAGCTGAGCAAGTGGAGCTACCTGAAGATGTGCTTGAAGCATGCAGGGGCCCTGTTTGTGAGTTCGGGCGGGGATTGGAGGCCGCAGCTGGGAAGGGGAGGGTGAAGCATGGCAGGGAGAGCCTGCCTCAGGCCCAACTGCAGACTTGTTGCGTGGTTCTTCGAACAATTTGAGGAGATTTCGAGCTCTGATTTTAGGCTTAGACTAGCACCGAGGGGTGATCCCAATCGGCCAAGATCTCCCAAGCATTCGAGAAGGGTTCTTACACCCAACCCAACCTCTCCGCTCAATTGTCACCACACTGCGTTTGCTTTGTGATGCCAGAGCAAAACATGTTAGAGACGTGTGTCCTCCCCCGATGTCCCTTCCGACTAAACCATAGACTGGCCGTCTTTCTTTGTTGGAACCTTCTCTGGTTTAGGAGTCATCGCAGCAGTCCAGGGGGAAGCTCCTTGCCGGCCAGCAGCTACAGCCGGTAGATCAGTCACATCAGTCCCATGGCATTGTAGACAGGTCCATGGCATGCCGAAGGAAGCGTTCCAGGAGTCTTGACCACGTGCAAGCTTTGTGGGGCAGGGTCCCTGTAAACTCATACAAGCCACTTCCTCAAAACCCGGTAGATGAAGGTTACTAAGGGACGATCCCAACCATAAATAGCTGCGGATGTCCTTAGTCCTGTGCATGGTTCTGGGATTAGGACCGTAGCGATCGGTTTTGATTGCCAGCGACTCCAAGGGGTTCTTCCGGCCTCGTGGGCCCATGGGTCCGCTCGGAGGGAGGAAACGAACGCGGCGCGGCGCTTCAGGAAGGCCAGGAGGGCCAGGAGAAGATCCGGCTGCTCAGCAACGAGTACAACCAGGCCGGAGTCCTCACAGCGGCGTGTTTTTTTTTTTTTTTTTTTTTTTTTTTTTTTTTTTTTTTTTTTTTTTTTTAATATATATATATATATATATATTCATTTTTTAATGTTCCGCTTGGGCTGGATATTTTTTGCAGCTGCCTGGTTGACCATGGCACATGTGACATTTTTTGTGGCGATGTCTACAAAAGGTTGTCCAGTGTTAGCCACAGAGGGGTGCACTGTTGATTGCAAGGGGCAATCTTCAGCTTTGGACACCGGACCGAGAATAAGGGAGCAGAGATTGAGTCACATTGTGCAGCCATGGTCGGCCCAAAGATGGTTTGCCAGTAGCTCCATATGTTTCCGCACGTGTTTATGGCCAGTCAGCGAAGGAGAGCAGACATCGCAGCATGAGAAGCTTGCAAAGGACGATATCTTGCAAGCACCCTTGTCAGCAACACAAAGGGTTCTTGTCTTTTTGTGAAAGTCCATCCTCCTCCCCCCGCCCCGCCCTCACAGATGCCATGTTATGCACTTCCTGCCACTACTCCCCTCCATAGACGATCCAATTTCAACGAGTCAAAGCTCTGGCCCGAGCCGTCGAGCCTCCCATGGAAGCCTCGCCACAGGTGGGGGGAGGGGAGGGGTCGTTGCATGCGGGGGATTTGTTTTATCGCTTGAGGCGAAAGGACGAACACTTTTGTTTTTCCTTTTCCCGGTGCTGGTGCGAGAGATGCAGGGAATGAGAACTGGAATGACAAGACAAAACCATCCAACTGGTGGTTTCCTTTAAGGGAGTCTCTGGGTTCATTCCCACATTCCCTTCCTATCGCACCAGATTTCGAAGCCCAAAGGACACGAAGGGATCGATCATGAGGGCGAACTGCGAGCTGGGAAGGAACTCGTGCGGGGGTCGGACATTTTTATGTTGAGACAAATGCATCCAGTGGCGACAATGCATCACATCACATTAGCGGGTGAAGCCGGGAAGCCCATGTCACTGGCCGTGGGAATTCGCAGTCAGAGCAAGGCCCGTGGATCAGCAGATTTTCGAATCGGGTTGCAGCTGCGCCAACCACGTCCAACCACAAAGCCCTGTTACCGGATTCCCTCCCTGGCAACATCTACACAGGTGCTACCCATTGCCAAATCATGAGCCTTCACCACACGAGACCAGACATACTTTCTCCAGACGCAAGCCCTGGAATGATGATTCCCTCCATGGTTTCCCGGCCTTTTGATTCACGATGGGGTTTTGAGCAGACTTCTTGACGATTGGGTGAAAGTCTATGTAAATGTCACAATTCCCCCATGCTGGTTTCATCAGCCCTGCCAGAAAGGCAATTGCAATTGAGTGTCCTCTTTGGGGTATGTTTCGCTTTGTGCGCTTGCGCTCCACAATCTGGGAGCTTCTGTTCGTCACTGGAACCCTTTCATCCATTCTCCCAATAAAAAAAAGAAGACACAAATTCCCGATTTTTTTTCTCCTTTTTGTGGGTTTCCCATTGGTGTGGTCATGGGGGTTCACTGGAGGGCTCGGGCCGGTCCTCCGTGGTGATCCCCTTGGACCTGCAGAGGAAGTCCGCGTGGCTCGGCTCGCAACCAATGAAAGGACTGCAAGGTGGTCCCACGTCTGGTCACCACTGGTCCACAGGGAAACAGGGGGGTCAGGGAAACAGGGGGCTTAATGGCAAGACGTCCTCAGAGACGTCTGGTCAGGGAAACAGGGGGCTTCATAGCAAGACATCCTCAGAGTTCGCCTCCATGGATCACCCGCGTGTTTTGAGGGTCATTTTTTTGAAGGCAGTGGGCCAAAATTGAAACCATGGGGCCACAGGCTTCCATTTATGAGGGTTCCCATTTTTGGGTCAACATATTTTTGACCCACTGCGACATCCTCAGAAATTGTCGCCGAATGGATCACCCGAGTTGTTTTAAGGGTACCCACTTTGAGTTTGAGTTGTTGTAAGGGTAATATTTTTGAGGTTGGTTTGAAGGGAAACCAACAAGAGAACTGTTGGGGCCCGAATTCCGATTTTGACATAATTCACGTGGGTAGGCGAAGTGTGAAGCAGAGTTTGAAGAAGACAATATACACTATGTACACTTGTTACACTTTGGACTGCCAGGGCACCAGAGAGAGCTATCCAAAAGGTGCTATCCAAAGGGCCAGCTTACGTCCAGAAGCTTTCCTCATTTCGTGAAAGCGTTGTTTGGTGAGTTGTCCGAGGCCGTTCCATTCGATCATTTGGTTGTCTATGCGTTTTTTTTTTGGCTGGGCTGGTCCTGGTTGGACATGCGGGGTGAACTGAAGCGAGCAACCGGCCGGTCCAAGTGAGGTTCCGCGGGCAGACCGGGGTCGACGCTTGCACAAAGCCCAAGACCGCCCTGGCGCACATCACCAACCGCAACGTGCTCGGCAGCTCGGCGATTTCGCTTGGATTGGGGTTTGGCTTTTTGTCAACGCTGTGGTTTGTATTTTGAGGACTGGCTGCCAGAGGTTTTGGCTTCTTCGTTTTGTTATTTTTGTTATGGGTGAAGAGTGAGGCTTTAGCAGCCTGTGTAGTTTTCAGACCTTTCGCGGCCGAGATTGCACAGTGTTCAGACTAGGTTGCTGTGAAGCACGTTCGCCACTTGTCAAGGGGCGCTCGTTCGCCGTTTTTCCAGGTATTTGGAACTCTGTTGTAGAATCTACGGGTCATTATTTTGGCTGTTTCTTGAAGTTATCAAAGTCAGAAAATGGGGCTGTTTCCCTTTAATCCGCCACTTAGGGGGTGACTTTGATCATGGTAAAATAATGGGGCCGGCAATCATGAAGATACATCAATCACATGGCGCACATATTTGGCCGTCCATCCGCTCGTGAGCGCTCCGAACGAGTCCAGAGGCAACGCCAGCCAGACGATCCGTGAGCCCGCACGATACCCGGCCACGGCCCCGGGCATTCCGATTTGGGGTTTCGAAGGGAACACGGGAGATCCATCCGGCCACATGCCAGGCGGGGGTTCTGCATTTCGAGTTTCTTTTTTTGTTGTTGGAATTGGGATACCCCAACTGGGTCACGTGTTGACAACAGGCCGTGCTACTGCGGCCATTTTTGTACGGCAAGATCCTGATCCACTGCTTTTTACAGTAAAAGCTGCGCATGCACCTTCTTGAAAGGTGAACAAAAACAGGGTTTCGTGCCTCCGACCCTACAAATGCAACGGTTTTTACAGTGTTTTATGCCTTTAGGTTCAAGAAGTGCTTCTCCAAACAAACGAGGGTTGACGCCTTGGCCACGCCCTGCTTTTCTACTCACAGAACTGGGCAAAATCTTCTGAAGAGATGACCACTAGCGGTCTATGCACTGACTTCACTTTTTTGCGCTTCACGGCGGACGTCCACTCATTCTTGTCATGCTTCACATGGAAGGAGACAAGGCAAAGTTGTTGCCAGTAGATCCAAATCAAGAGGGGCCCCAACAGGACAGGGAGGAGGTAGAACGAACAAAGGCAGTCACAGGGTCCGTGCCAGTCAGAGTCAGCACGTCAATGCGGGAGTCCAAGTAAAAGGGGTCAGCAAGCCAAGCAACACCAAGCAGCGAGCACGAGTGGGAGGGCAGAACAAGAGAAAGAGCAAAAGCAGCCCAAGAAAAGGTGTCCATGCTGAGCAGTTACGGCAGCGGCCATGATGTCGCTACCATCCCCACCCCCCACCCCAGCCCCAAGAAAGGGCCGAAACCTGCAAAAGACTGGGTGCTGGAATCGGATGATCCGCTGACCGACCAGAACCCCCACATTTCTGCGATTCGAACTGGGCCCCTTCTGATTCACACTTTTTTACTTGCAGTCCCGCACCCTTAAGGAAGCCGTGCATTCAAAGAAAGCAACTGGAATTGAAACAGTCCTCCTGCGCGGCTGGATTGACAAAGGCAGCTCCAGGCTTTTCAAGCTCCTTTTTCATTTGCATTCCTGTCTTGGGTAGGCCGCGTAGCCATGGCCAGTTTCGAAAGAAGAATCACACGGAGCTCCATTGTGGTTCCCAGCCATCCGGTTGCTTAGCTTTATCATTTCATTATTATTCTTATTTTTCTTATTATTATCATTATTATGTATAAATACACATATAAACAAGAAAGAGAGAGAGAGAGAGAGAGAGAGAGAAGCAGAAAAAGGAGCCGCAGGGGGGGGATATTGTCGCCCTGCTTGTCGCCTTTCGCCTTAGGAGGGCACGGGCTACCACGGGGGCCTGGGCCCTTCGCGGCCGGCGAGCTACTCGCCCTGCGAGACGGCGCTCTGGGGCGGTTTGTCCGGGTGGCGCACAAAGCACTGCCACCAGGCGCCTGGGATATGGCGACGTTTTTTTTTTTTTTGTTTTTCGCGAGGGCGACGTTTGGTTTTTCCATCTGGGTGTGGCTCAAAATTAATCAGGAGGGGCAAAGCGCAGGTTTTGGTCCATGTTTCCACTTACCAGAGTTCAATTTTGCACAGCCATTTGGGGGGGCCCGTTGGTGCTTTTTTGTTCCAAGCACAAACCAGTTTTTTTTTCTTTAAAGCGGGGGGCCGGGATCCCAGTTCTGGTCGCAAGCTTTCGACCTCCAGGATTTTATTTCTGGTTTCCGGGTCTAACAAAGACCGGCGCCAGTCTTTCTCGAGCTCGCTCCATGTGAGTCACAACCAAAACCCGGGTTATTGGAGGGGGTCAATCCCAGAATTCGGTGCGGCCGGTTGGAAGAACCTTCTCCACCAAGCTTTTGGACCTTCATGCTGCCTTTGGGTTTATGGGTCCAACCAAAACAGGTCGACATGGTCCCCCCGACGGGGAGGGCCGCAAGACTGGAAATTTTCATGGGCTGCATTCCGGTAAAGAAAAGCGGGACGTCGATTTGCAGGGGGATTTCTTGTGATTTGGGGGAGGAATCCATCAAGGGTGGAGAGTGACTTTGGTACTTGGCCAGAAATGGCTGATGGTTGAGCAGGAGGTTGAGATTTGACAGGCCGCTAAGAAGGGCCAGGAGGTGTGGGAATGTCCGGCTG